ACACCCGCCACTTACCTCAGCTCTCAGTGCTCACGGCTAGTCCAGGCAAGGCAGCCCCTTTCCCCACAGCAGGTCTAAGGCTTAGGGTACGTCTATACTACCCGCCGGATCGGCAGGTAGTGTTCGATGTATCGGGGATCGATTTATCGCGTCTCGTCTGGACGCGATAAATCGATCCTTGAATCGACGCCCGTACTCCACCTCGGCAGGAGGAGTAAGCGCAGTCGACAGGGGAGCCGCGGCAGTTGACTCACCGCCGTGAGGACGGCCAGGTAAGTCGAACTAAGATACTTCGACTTCAGCTACGCAAATAACGTAGCTGAAGTTGTGTATCTTAGTTCGAACCCACCCTCCCCCAGTGTAGACCAGCCCTTAGCCTTTGGCAACACAGCTCTGTCTGTTGAATACCTAGGCAGAGTAGGTGTGTTCATGTAAATACGCTCCGGTCCTGAAGTCTTTTCTCCCCAGCTCATCACTAGATATCAGGGGGTGAACTCATTCAGATCCACCTTACACAAAGCTGATGGCCCTCCACGGCTGCCTCTTTGATAGTCCCACTGGCAGGGCAGTGTCTGGAATAGACTTGCCTTCTCAAGGCCCAGGCTGGTTTTTCAACCCAGAACACACAGTGGCAGCTGGCACATAAAATGGGAGACTGGCTACAAAAATGGAAGTCACAAAACAAAATGGAGTTCACAGTTCGATACAGACATCTCCCCCCGTCACAGTAACCATTAAGGGGCCTGAACATTCTTTTAACAGAGACGTTTATAACAATCTCAGTAGCATCGGGAAAGCTCCTGGAATTAGGGCAAGACAGAAAATCATTACAGCCTCTAGCAAAACTTTCTTCCAAATGGAATCTTAATTTTCCATCATCATGATTTATTGGTATACTCAGGAAGACAACACAGATCCAGCATGCATATAGAAACCATCTGCAAACTGCTCCTTTCTAAGTGGGTTTGCTGATCACTCTCCTACAGTAATTTTTACTGTAGAGGTGAAAGTAGAGGATTTTATGGATCATACAGATCAATAATCTTCTGAAGAGTTTGGACAGAAAATAATGAGTTTACTTGGCCTCCTGAGACACCACAATATCAAATCACTTTCAAAGCACCAGAACCAAATGCCTTCAATCTCTATCTGCCTGTGCACTTTAACACTTGAGTTACCACTCAAGAAAGAGATCTTGGAGTCATTGTGGATAGTTCTCTGCAAACATCCACTCAATGTGCAGCGGCAGTCAAAAAAGCAAACAGAATGTTGGGCATCATTAGGAAAGGGATAGATAATAAGACAGAAAATATCATATTGCCTTTATATAAATCCATGGTACGCCCTCATCTGGAATAGTGCATGCAGATGTGCTTGCCCCATCTCAAAAAAGATATATTGGAATTGGAAAAGGGGTTCCGAAAAGGGAAACAAAAATGATTAGGGGTCTGGAGCATCTGCCATATGAGGAGAGATTAATAAGACTGCGACTTTTCAGCTTGGGGAAAAAAGACAACCAACGGGGAATATGATAGAGGTCTATAAACTCATGACTGGTGTGGAGAATGTAAATAAGGAAGTATTATTTACTCCTTCTCATAACACAAGAGCTAGGGGTCGCCAAATGAAATTAATAGGCAGCAGGTTTAAAACAAACAAAAGGAAGTATTTTTTCACACAACACACAGTCAACCTGTGGAATTCCTTGCCACAGGATGTTGTGAAAGCCAAGACTATAACAGGGTTCAAAAAAGAACTAGATAAATTCATGGAGGATAGGTCCATCAATGGCTATTAGCCAGGATGGGCAGGGATGTTGTCCCTAGCCTCTGTTTGCCAGCAGCTGGGAATGGGCGACAGGGGATGGATCACTTGATGATTAGCTGTTCTGTTCATTCCCTCTGGGGCACCTAGCATTGGCTAGATGGACCTTTGGTCTGATCCAGTATGGCCGTTCTTATGTTCTTACATTCTTACTTCTGATTTTTAAACATAGATCCCTCTCAATAAAAATTACATGCCTAAATCTTCAGGTCATGATCTCTAGCTACATTTATCATGAATCACAGGAGGACAATTCATAAAGAAATCCACATCTATGGGAGCACATCTTGCGGGGTGGATGAAGTTTTAGCTGGTGTAGATCTCTTCACCTCAGCTCTACGCCATAGCTGCCCCTCTTACCCTGCTCTGTCCCCCTGAGCTCCCTTCCCTTCCCTTCCCATGTAGCAAATCCCCTCCTAAGAAAACCCACCAAAAGGAAGAAAAAAATCGTGGAACTAACGTGACGTTTGCTGCCGTCCACTGCTCACGCAGCATGTGTGTCCAACCCCTTCCTCCACCTGGGTCTGTCTTGTCCATTTAGATTGCCGGCTCTTCGAGGCAGGGATCGTCTCTTTCTAGGTTTGTACAGCACCTAGCACAATAAAGACCCATTTTTGGCTGGCCCTTAGGCACTGCCCTAATAAACATGATTAATCATCCTCAACTTTGGGGAAAGTGTGGACATTCATGCTGGGAGTCTCTAGAAAATGTAAGCAAAAGTAGATAACATGATGTGTTTCCTTGAATCAATGAATAGAAAAGGGCAGAAGGGACCATTATGGGCCCTGGGAGTTTTTTGCCTTCCTCGGCAGCATGGGACATGGGTCACTTGCTGGAGGATTCTCTGCATCTTGAAGTCTTTAAACCATCATTTAAGGACTTCAGTGGCTCGGACATAGGTTAGGGGTTTGTTACAGGAGAGGGTGAGTGAGATTCTGTGGCCTGCGTTGCGCAGGAGGTCGGACTAGACCCTTCTGACCTTAAAGTCTATGATTCTATGATCAACTAGTCTGGCCTGCAAAACACAGGCCACAGAATCGTAACCGGTAATCCCTGCATAGACCCCAATAACTTGTCCTCATTTCTTCTGGTGTAGAATTGAACTATGAGGAAATGCTTCTCTTTGCCCTAGAAGGCCTAGTCTTTGCTTGAGCAACTCAAACTCTATTGTGTTTTCAGCTCTGGGAATTGGGTGGGTCACTTCACTGGGGGAGGCCAGGTCTGTCTATGCAGAAGCCTGGTGCTTCTATGCCAGCACTGTCCCTGGTAGCCTGTGATGGGGTGAAACTCCATCATGGACTAGGATGGGTTAAAAGCCGGCTAGTCTAATCTATTACACCTGTGCCATCATTAATTTGTTGAAGGAATGGGCCTAAGAGGCAGCAGATGATAGATTCATGGACACCTGGGCTTCATAAAATGCTGAGAGTGTTCAGTCTGAGGGTGTACAACCACAGGGAGTGGGTAGGTTTCTTTTGAAGACCCTGAGCCAGGCTCTGCAAAAGAAGGGTTCTCTAGGGGACCCAGCCCAGGGGCTGACTGCTCTGCACCACAGCAGAGGGCAAGACTCAAAGGTAACCAAAAAAGGGACTGAGATTCGGGTGGTCTGAAGGGCCTGAGGCTTGTTGGGACTCTTGAGCTGGACTTTTGTTACCCCAGGACGGGTTATGTTTGTTTGTGACTTGGCAGAGGGCCAAACCACATCTCCAGCACTCATTTGTGTGTGGGGGAGGAAACTGAGGCAGAAAGTGCTGGTAGGGCTGTGATTGAGCAGAAGGGGGAGCTCTGGGATGGCCATGCCCTAGGACACCGCCCCCAACCATTGCACTCTCCTGAAGCACAATTCCATTGGCTTGGAGATGTATTTATTTTCCTGGGGGTACATCCACAGGGCTGGTGGGGAGATAAGAACATAAGAACGGCCATACTGGGTCAGACCAGTGATCCATCTAGCCCCATATCCTGTCTTCTGAGAGTGGCCAATGCCAGGTGCCCCAGAGGGAATGAACAGAACAGGTAATCATCAAGTGATTCATCCCCTGTCACCCATTCCCAGCTTCTGGCAAACAGAGGCTAGGGACACCATCCCTGCCCATCCTGGCTAATAGCCATTGTTGGACCTATCCTCCATGAACTTACCTAGTTCTTTTTTGAACCCTGTTATAGTCACGCATATGTCAGAGATAATCAGATAAACATAGAGATAATGCATACATCCCGCTGGCTCTGCCCAAGAACCTCTGGTTCAGCCCTTGTGGGGTCCAGCCCAAGGTGGACTTGCTGCTGCAGAGGTGGGAGAGGGCTGCGCCAGATTGCATTGACTGGTTATGCCCCTGAGAGGGCCATTGCAGCAGTTAGGGAGGTCCTAGCCACAGCCCAATGTCCGCCAGCCATGCCATCTGTGCTAGGGACAGAGAGGGGGCAGCAGAGAAGTTCTGCAGTTCAGAGCTGTCCTTCCTGTGCCTTACCTCAGTTTCTCTCTCTGTAAACTTCTGCCTGGCTCCGCTCATTCTGATGGCAATGCACTCAGCAGGAGGTGAGGGATTTAAAATGTCTCTTTGGAGACAAACCTTCAACTATGGAGGGATTCAGGAGATCAACTATGAAAATGGATAGAAACACTCAGTACAGCCCCCCTGCTGCTGTTTGTCTGGAGAGTAAAGTCTATTGGGGTTGCCCTGTGCCTAAGTTGTCAGTGCGTTCTAGATTTTTGGATTGCCAACCTATAACTCCAATGGGGGCGCAGATGGGCAGGAGGCTGGAGGTGTGGGAAGTTAGGTGGGGGACAGCTGGGGCTTTGGGGATTGGCAGGAGTTCATGGTGTTGCCATTTAAACTGCCATCATTGGGCATCAGAGCTAACGCTGACGGACATGACGAGCCAGACCCTTAGCAGCGCTCAGCGATTGTGTCAGGCTGCCGGCAGACTCGGGAAGACAACCCTGGCTCCCTTTGCGCATGCTTCGCCTCTGGGGGGGTTTCTGAGCCGCTGTGCGAGCTCGCAAGGTGCAGTCAGTGCCGGGGCTGGGTGCGCAGCTCGGCGGATTGTCCCGGGCGTCTCTGGCTGGCGGAGGGGGGACGCCCCCATTGGGCGGACTCGGGGGCTGGCTCCGGGCTGTGCGTGGGGAGAGACGCCTGCCGCTGAGCGGCCGCCAGTTCGCCGGGCGGCATCCGAGCCTGCAGCGAGCCGCCGAGCGAGCCTTGGCGGGGAGCCTCTGTCAGCCCCCGGCGGGTCTGGAGGGTGCCAGCCGCCCCGCGGAGCCATGCCTGGGGCTGCGGGGCCAGCCTGGGGCTCCCCGGCTCCTTTCCTGCTGCTGCTGCTGCGGTTTCTCCCCGCCCTGGAGGCAGCAGGCTGGAGAGGTAAGTCCGCGGGGAAGATGCCAGGCAAAGGGACGAGCCGAGCTGTGGGAACCCTGGGTGGGGTGAGCTTGTGGGGCTTTATTCGAACCCCGGCGCCTGGCCATGGTGATGCACCTCCTCTCCCTCACCCCTTTTGTTCCTGTTCTTTTGTATCTTCCACACCTTCCCTAGTCTGAACAGAAGGGTTAGCAGCCGGAATAGCACAGCCAGCCTCCTAGCAAATCAACAAGAACACCCAGAGAATACGCATTGCAGGCGGCACTGCCCCTATAGAAAATCCTGGTATTGGGGGGGCTTGGGGGATACCTGGTTATAAGCAATGTCTTGTCTGCTGCGGGGTCCAGGGTCCGTCCCCAGGATGTGCCCTGGGGATTTCTAGCGGCGTGGAATGGCAGAGAGGTTCCTCTCTCTCCCTGCAACACACTCCCAGCTGCAAAAACCCCAGCTCCGCAGGAAAGCAATGATAGCCTTGGATGGGTGACAGCCCTAACTGCAGGTCAGCAGGCTGGGATAGACATTAGCCGGGAAGAAGAGCTCGTTTCTTTCGGCAACAGATAGTCCCTCGCCCACCTTGTCTCATTAAACCCAGGGGCATTTTTAACTGGCGGTTAATCACAGGGTCCTAAGTCTTGGATTGGTGGGTTGGGGGCAGCCTGAATTCAGCCCATTTTCAAGCTGGCTATTAGAATAAGATTCTCGTCCACTTGCGGTCACTGTCCCCAGTGGATTACCCTCTGAGTGTCTTGTGAAGGCTTTGACACCAGGGGCTTTTACACCCGAGTCAAATGCAGGAAAGACAGATACGGCAAATGATGTATTTCATCTCACTCTACTTGGGGAAGCATTCCATGATACAAATCGGCTGGAAGGGGTCTGGAAGAGTAGCTAAAGAGAACTCGATGAGCAGAGGCGTAGCGAGCGCCCTCCGTACCCTCCAACCGGAGGGGGCCCCTAAAAGTGGCAAAATAAATACCGCATTCCAGTTTCTGCATTGTAAGGGGCCCCGCCCGGACATATGTTCAGAGGGGGCCACCGTTCGGAGGGGGCCACGTTCTTTGTTGCTACGGCCCTGTCGATGAGTTTAGATGTCATGAGAACTTCTTTCCCCATTCTGTTTCCCAGACCTGAAGAAGAGGTCTGTGGAGCACAAAAGTTTCTCTCTTTCACCAACAGAAATTGGTTCAATGAAAGATATTACCTCACACGGGCCTTGTCTCAGGGGAAAGAATAGACAGACCTGCTTTAAAAGGGAAAGAAAGCATCATTGGGCATTGCTATGTGGTTGTTGGACACGTTGGCCATGCCCGTCAGTTTCAAACTAAGAGAATTATTTAAGTGCTTCAGGGAGTTTCTCCATCTTTGTTCCAGCAATTAATGTGCCTTTTTAAACTCCTATTTAAAAATCCTCTTCAACAATTATTGCTCTGTCCAGCTGAACTTATCCACGGTTTGTATATTTATTACAGGTCTGATCCAGAGAGGAGCTGAGCACATGGCCCCCAATCCAGCACAGCACATGTGTTTAAATATAGGAGCTGCCTCATTTAAATCAACCAGATAGCTCATGTGCTTAAATTCAAGCACATGCTTAAGTGCTTTGCTGGATCAATGCCTGTGCTTGCATATGTCTGTACTTTCCGAAATGTAGATGTAAAAAATTATAAGGAAAATCTTTTCTGCTGCTAATATTAAACAATGTACTTAAATGTATTTAGAGACATTAGTGGCCAAATAATTCAAACAGTTCTTGCTTTTTGCTGTTTATATGCTGTCTTTTGAAGGATCTGACCCTGTTCCATTAAGTCCCATTGTCTCTGATGGGGCAGGATTAAACCCTAAATGCTGGACTTTGCAGTGGAGTTTTGATTCTGAGCAACTGTCTGTGCTCCCCAGGAGAAAACAACACTGTTGGCCCACAGCTGTACCAGGAAGAAATAACGCTGCAGTGGAAAGCCACAGGAAGCGTGAAGGTATGTCATATGACCATGTTGACAGGAAAGGGGCTCTTAAATTTTTTTTGTTTTTCAACTGTTCTCTCCCAAGGTGTGAAATGGTTGACTGGATCTGGTGATGTCTCTTAAATTCTTCAGGCCAAATCCCGGTCACTGGCGGCACATGCAGGCTATAGGAGCATATAAAAAAATGCATCAGCATAGAGGGGAGCTGTTTGCTGTGATCTGGACTCTCCCCAAAACTCATAGGCTGCTATGTACCCGCTTGGCATATGGTGCTGTAGGGGAGTGCTACAGAGAGGGGCTAAGGATGACCTGCCGGTAAGATCCCCGGACCCAATGCCGATAAAGCACTGCTCTCTGTGCACAGTATCTCAGCCCCAAGCTGGAATCCTACCTCCAGAGAGCCATTGCTGGGCAGAATACGGAGGCAGACTTGCCCTGCATTTGTGGCGGATGTGTGCTCCAGGTTTGGAGACAGAGCGTAGTCTGTACCCTGGCTTTGGCTTGCAGAGCAATAATAACAAATAACTCTTGCTGCTATATCACTTTCCATTATGAAGGATCCCTTTAGACTATGTATTAAGATTGCTTACCCACCACTGAAATGCAGCTGCCTCAGGGGAAGAGCCCAGCAGCCATTTAACACACCCATCAATGATAACAGTGACAGGCTGTCTGTGGCCTCCAGTGGCAAAAACCTTAAGGAGGGAGGCCCAGAGGCAGGATAACTCAGTGCTGGTCTCCTTGGGAGTTTGCTCCAAATCTTAGTCAGGTGTGGGAAGGCAGGTTTTCCCTCATGGAAGAAGCTGCATCCAGCTCCAACACCCAGTGATCTGTTGGATCCCTATGCCCTGTGCCTTCACACCTGCTCTCAACAGGCTCCCACAGTGTCTGGCAGGGCAGCTCCATTAGACTCGCACTAACAGGGTTATTTTGCCAGCAGCAAATCTCAGGACGTTCCATGAAGAGGACTCTGTTGCAAAGAGTGAGGGCCATGGAAAGGGTAATGCAGCTTGGGGCTGTGTCGCCTCCTCAGCGGAGTCACCCTTGGGTGCCAGGGAGGATGAGAAACACGCCCTGGAGCCTCAGTCAGGTCTCCATAGGTACAAGGCAAAGGAGGATAATGGAGGGAGGTTCACCTGCTTCCTCTGCATCTCTCCATGTTCAGATCTAGGGGGAATGGTCCATTCCCAGTCAGGGCCTGAATGCTGCACCCCTAGGTGAGTGTCCCATGGATATCACGGGGA